AAAGAGAAGAGTCCAGGTGAGAGATGATGGGAGCTTGAGCTAGCTAAAGTGAATCTACTGGTTGCATTAAGTCCCCACACTGCCCAAGGAAACTTTAGCCTGGCATAGGATTCCCCATCATTTCTGGCTCTTTCACTGATTTGGCTTGAGCCACCCCCCCTTTCATCTTCTCCCTTGTACCACAACTTTTCCCCATTTATGACTTTGACTGGTCTGACATGGCCTGATCCTGGCCCTTACTTTCATCCCCCTGTAGACACTGTTGATCTCTTATTGTCTCCATTTCTATGCCTAAGGCTGCACAGAAGGCCCTCCCTTTTTAGGTCTCTTTTTGACCGTTACAGATTCTTCTTCAGTAGTTTGTTAGTCCTGACATGATGCTTCTTATTTCAATACATCAAAGATTCATGATTTCATTGGTGTGGGTATTCCCTCTGCCTACTGAGATCACAACTCCTCTATAACTTGGCAGATGGAATATGCTTTGGCTGAGAAAAAAATGTATCACTGTGAGGCCAACCTGGTGAGATGAGCCTCTCCAACTTAGTTAGACTGGTCTTCAAACCATAAAAATATAGTACACCAAAGCCTTTGGAGCTTGGGAGGACTCATTGGAGTTTGTATTCTGCTGCTGACTACACCCTGCTGCAAAATACTTCTCTCCTCTCTTGCTTTTTGTGATACTACTCTCCTGTTTTTCCTCTTGCTTGTCTGACCAGTCTTTCTCAGTCTCATTTGCTGGATCATCATCCACCTAACTCCCTAACTGTGAGTGCTCCCCAAGGCTCTCTCCTTGGTCCTCATCTCTTTTACATTCTCTCTTAGTAACCTTGTCAGCATCGTGGGTCTGACTAGCATCTCTATGCATATGACTTGCAGATTCATATATGTGGTCCCACATCGCCAACTCTCTATTGGACATTTGCAACTAGATGTTCCATAGGCACCTCAAATTCAACAAGTCTGAAACAGAATGCAAACTTCCTCCTCTATTGAATTTCTCTGTTTCTGTTGAGGTCACCACCATCCTCAGGTTTGCAACCTTAGAGTCATCATTGACCTGCCCCTCATCCCCCAAATCTTGTTCATTTTGCCTCCACTTCCCACCCTCCTCCACTCACATGGCTACTACCCTAGTTCAGGTCCTCATCACCCCACAGCCTGGACCTAACTGGTCTCTCTGGCTCCTCCCTCCAATTCATCCTCCATACAGCTACCAAAATGGTATTTCCTTCTTTCTTTCTTTCTTTCTTTAGGCAATTGGGGTTAAGTGACTTGCCCAAGGTCACACAGCTAGTAAGTGTCAAGTGTTTGGTCTGAGGCCAGATTTGAACTCAGGTCCTCCTGACTTCAGGGCCAGTGCTCTATCCACTGTGCCACCTAGCTCCCCCCAAAGTCAGGTATTTCTTTTTTTTTCCCTTTTCTTTTCTATTTATTTTTTTTAGGCAACTGGGGTTAAGTGACTTGCCCAGGGTCACATAGCTAGTAAGTGTTAAGTGTTTGGTCTGAGGCCAGATTTGAACTCAGGTCCTCCTGACTTCAGGGCTGGTGCTCTACCCACTGCGCCACCTAGCTACCCCCCCCCCCCAGTATATTTCTAAAGCACAGGTCTGACCATGTCAATCCCATTCTCAAGAAGTTCCAGTTGTTGGTTGTAGATGTTTGTCAAGTTTGTCAAGAAAAAGAAAATTTGAATATTAAAAGAATGGACTGGTTATGTAGCAAAGGGAAAATCAATGGGCAGCACACAGTGTCTCAACAAAGTGAAGAAATCTAGAAGAAAGCCCCCATAAATCTGGGGAAAATCTCTGTGGAGGATTGATAGAAAGTAGACATGGACATGGACATGGACATGGATAGAAAGTGGAGGACATGGACAAGCATCATGTAGACTGAGAAAGGGGGAATATTCTGCACTCCTGGAGGGAGTCCCCATGTTAGCAAAACCCTAACTCCATCAGAGTATTGGATGGCTGACATATAGAGTTTGTGCTCTGCCCACACTCCCAGATTTCTTCTGGATGAGATGCTAAGAGCCACATCTTCACATCTTGTGCTCATGAAGTTCTGACTTCTTGGAACCAAGTGTAAAACTTTACATTTATTCCTATTAAATTTCATCTTATTAGATTTGGCACTAGACTTGGCAGTCTAGTGTAGTCTGCAGAGATATTTTTGGATCCTGACTCCGTTTCCAACAAGCTAGCTTTGTATCAACTGTGAATTTGATAAGCATGCTGTCTTTGCCTTTATCCATATCACTGATATAATTAGGAAAGAGTACAAGGCCAAGCCCAGGGGACAGAAGCACTTTACTGGAGGCCTCTTTCAAAGCTGACATCAAGTCATTTGTGACTGTAGTGCTCTTTGAGTCTGGCCATTCAGCCAGTTCTGAAGCCCCATGACTATAGCCTGGCCCACACTTCTGAAACATGAAATGAGAGATTTGGTCAAACACTCTGCTAAAATCTAGGCAAACAATATCTACAATATTCCCTTGATCTACCTGTCGATTTTTGTAGTTGTTGTTCCAGATCTATGATTACTTTGGTGTAGGGAATTCCCAGTGTGAACAATTCTTCCACCAATGCAGATCAGTAACTTGTCTGTGACTTATAATCTTTGAGAGTTTGCTACGGATACTGAGAGGTTATGTGATTTGCCTGTAGTCACAAAGTCAGTATGTGTCAAAAGCAGGATTTGAACCCAGGTCTTCCTCACTCCAAGGTCAGTCCTGTGATCATTATACCACTTTGTCTCTTCTACTACTCTAATAACCTTACCAAAACAGGAAATGATATTAGTTTTGAGGAAGCCAGGCTGGCTCTTTCTGATCAATACTTCCTTTTCTAGAAGTTCACTAGACATCCCTTTAATAATACGTTCTAGAATTTTGCGAGTAATCAAAGTCATGTTCACTGGTCTATACTTTGGGAATTCCACCCATCCTTTCTTTTAAAAACTGTAATACTTGTTCTTCTTCAACCCTGTAGCACCTCTGGACAAGAAGTTAAAATGACTTGTATGCTTTGCATCATGTTAGATAAAGCCCAGTTTTTGTCTAGTTATTTTGCTTTACCATTTTTAAGTTAACCAACTTGCTTTTGTGTTTTAATACGCTAAAAATATTTCAATTAGCCTAACAGTATTAACTATTAATTGAGAAACAATTACTCAGTGTGGCATTTTATAATAGCATAGATTTTCCTCCATCCAAGATAGCACAGTGTACTTTATCTAAAAGCCGAAGTAGCCCCTGCTACTGGGGAGGCTAAGGCTGATGGAAAGAAGAAAATAATACTTATTAAGCACCTACTATGTGCCAAGCACTTTACAAATATTATCTCATTTGATCCTCACAACAACCATAAGAGGTAGATGCTACTACTATCCCCATTAAGGAAACTGAGGAGACAGAAATTAAGTGACTTGCCCAGGGTTACCCAGCTACCAAGTGTCTGAGGCCAAATTTGAACTCAGGTCTTCCTGACTATCTTTTGCCTCTTTCTGTATCCCCAGTGCCTGGCACATAGTAGGCACTTCATAAATGTTGATCAATTGATTGATGGACTCCAGGCCCAGTGCTCTATCCATTGTGCCATCTAGTTTCTTGACTTGAGTTCAGAACTTTTTTTAATATGAGGCAGAGTTAAGTGACTTGAGGCTGGATTTGAATTCAGGTCCTTCTGACTCCAGGGCCAGTGTTCTATCCACTGCTACCACCTAGCTGCCATTGAGTTCAGAACATGTGAGCTGACTGAGTATCCACATTACCTCTGGCACTAATATGATGAGCTCCTGGGAGCAGAGGCCACCAGGCTGCCTAAGGAGGGGCAAACCAGTCCAGGTTAGAAAGAGGGAGCAAGTTAAAGCTTTCATATAGATAAGAATCGGGATAGGAACCATGAGTGACTGCTGCATGTCCAGCCAGGGCGAGATAGGAAGCCCCGGTCTCAAAAATGTATAGATGGATGGATGGATGGATGAATGAATGGATGGATGGATGGAGAGAGAGAGATGATGGATAGATAGACAAAGAGAGAGATAGAAAGATAAAAGCAATGGATGGCTTGGACCAAACTGTCAGGGTCCTACAGTCTCTGATTTCTAGGGTTCCTCAATCTCTGCATCAGGTATGAGAGGCAAAGAGCCTGCAGTCAAGAAAATCTGGGTTTAAAGCCCACTTCTGATATTAGCTGTGTGGCCATTAATAAGCCCAGGAGCCTTAGGCAACTTTCTAAGACTCTAAGTTATAGATGGGTTGTAATCTCTTGAGTTCCCACTCACACAAAAATCACAGGTCCTTGATCTAGGGACAATAGTTCCAAATTACATTTCAAAAATCTTGTGGCATTGAAAGTAATACTAAACAAGAGTTTAAGCCTGCTTATAAAGCATATGAAATACTGCATTTGTTCCTACAGATCTGTAAGAAATAATTTCGTGTAATGATTAATAATTAGAGTGAGAACATAGCCTCCCACCCATTGTGGAACACTGAACAATTAAAAGCAGCCCTTTGATACATAAACATGGTATTATAAAACAGTTTGTAGGAATGCTGGTAATTTAAGGGGCTGGTTTTCTCCCACTCTGAATCCCACATTACACAAATAACTGACATTAGAGAAAAATTTATAATGGGATTGCAGCGTGGTAGAGTAGAAGCCTAACTCTGTCACTTACTACCAGCGTGATCTTAGGCAAGTTATTTAGCCACTCAGTTTCTTCATCTGTAAAATTAAGGAAATGGACAAGATGACATCTAAGGTCCTTTCTACCTGAAATCTGTGATGCTGTGATGCCACTTCTTGTTAGATCATTTCTAAACTAAAAGGTCTAATCTTTTCTTATTTGATCCATCAGCATACTTGCCTTCTATCCCCTGCCTTTCCATCTTGTCAAGATTGTGCTACATGTATCTTGTGGGAAAAAGAGCACCATCCCATCACTCGCCTACCTTGTAGCCACAGACCCATTTCTGGCTTCACTTGACTTACTCTGGCTGTCCCCGGGGGTCCCACATGTCATCAAACTCCGATCCTTCTGGTACCTCCTCCGGATCCCATATGTCCTTTCTATTTTCAGTCTTATTTGGAGGGTTGACTAGAAAGAGAAAAAAGATAAGACTGATGCTAGTACCCTTTAAAAAGTGATTGCTGTCCTTTTTCCACAGTCAGTTTGGAACAGCAACAATCAAGTTGTTTCTATTTGTAGCCATCAGATGAATTGCCTTTTTGTCAAGTTTTCTTTTTGTCTAATTTGGTAACAACCAATTTCTACACAATAGCTCAGATCAACCATGCAGTCAGTAAGCCCATCTCCCCAGACAGTGGCTGGCACAGACTAGGCATTTAATAAATGCTTGTTGACTGAGTACATTAATCTGATGTGGGCGTTATGACAACGACAGACTGTTTTATCCTATAAGCCACCTCCAATACTTGGGGAAGTAGGTAAGGCTTAACACATTTTAAAGGGCTCTATAAAAGTGAGTCATTACTAGTATTAATATTAATGATGATGACGATGATGGTGATGATGATGACGATGAGAACCCTGACCAGTGCAGGTAGATGATCTCTAAGGTTCCATTTAGCTGTAAAAGTCTATTCTTGTGTGAGCAGGGTTATATCATGTGTTACACAGTTCCATCCTCCTACAGATGCGAGGCTGGCAGTAGAACCAGAAGATACACCAGGCCTCAATGTGCACAAGCATCAAGGCCCCAGGAGAAATGCAGAGCTCAGCATAAAGGGCAGCATCCTGGGCTCCGAATCAAGTGCAAACAAGGCACCCTCCTCAGCATCTCCTTCCCCAGGCATGAGAATGACTTTCTGGTTATTAGGAAAAGATCTGCTTTCACATAGCACAGCCTTTATACATCTAAACCACATGCTCTATTATTCAAGGCCCAGAACTTAGAGCTGATTAGAGCCACATAAATATATTTTACAGAAGTTTATGTAGTGGATCTTTCTTGACTAAGACAAATAAAGTGACAAATTTTCATTATTCATGTTAATGAGGGAGAGAAATAGCATAAATAATTGAAATCTACAGATACCCTGTGAGTTTATCTTGGCCATCATTTTCAAGCTCCCAACCAAATCTTTTACTGGAGAGTCTAAGAATTAGTAAAAGTGATGGATGAACTTCATCTACTTATCCTGCCCACAATGTAGAGAAAGTAATAATGAGCAATGGAGTTAGAATGGCCCTTATTTTGAAAGGTATATAAGGTGCTTTGCACAAAAGTGTTAGAAACACACACAAAAAGCATCATATTTTAGTTTAGCACAACTTCAATATACACAATTCCATGGACTTTCTCTTATGACTTTTAAAAGTAGAGACCTGCACTCTGAAATGCATGGAAGGTAGGAAGGTAAAGGGTAGAGAAGCCAACAGCTACCTAATCCATAAACAAGACAAGTAGATCTTAAAGCAGGCATAGCTTTCTGGCTCCACACTACACCTGTCCCTGTCAGTGTGTGCCAATGTGTGCCAATGTGTACCAATATGTGCCAGTGTATGCCTCCGTATGCCACTGATTGGAAAGAGAGCCAATGACAACTGCGCATGACGAAGGGCCGTGTCCCTCCATTGTGTGGGCTGAGTGCAATCTCCAAAGAGGTGATCATAGCTGCTATGGTTCCTCTTCCTCCTCCTCATTTTAGACAAATCTGAGGAAGTACTAATGGATGGTTGGGACCAGGCCTGGGTGATCCTTAGTGTGAGGGAATTCCTAATGAGGAAATGAAGACTGACAGCTATTAATTGACTTAAGCTCTTAGTCAGTTGCCTGAGGTACCAGGAAGTGAAGGGACTTTCCCAGGGATCACATGGCCAGTAACCGTCCTGACTCCAAGGCTAGCTCTCTAGCAACTACATCCCACTATGACCCTTGGTCAGTATTAATATCTTTATTACTTTGCTGCCACTTTCATAATTGCAAACACTGAAATTCTCTCTCTCTGATCACAGTCTTCCATCTCTCCTTAGGCCTCAATGACTCATTTTCAGTCATTTTTTTTTCAGTTGTGTCTAACTCTTCATGACCCCATTTGAGTTTTCTTGGCAAAGATACTGGAGTGGTTTGCCATTTCTTTCTCATTTTTCAGATGAAGAAACTGAGGAAAACAGGGTAAAGTGACTTTTCCAGGGTCACACGGCTAGTAAGTGGGCTGAGGCCAGATTTGAACTCAGGAAGATGAGTCTTCCAGACCCCAGACCCGCACTTTCTCCACTGTGCCACCTCGCTGTCAGACTCATCTTCACTATGACCTTGAGACCATCATCCCTGTTTTGGCCTCACCTTTTTTCCCTTCACAGACTTACCTGGAGTTAACCAGTTCAACTATACCTGAGCTTCTACCCTTGAAGCCCTTGCCCCCTTGTCCTTTTGCTGCTCAATTCTGAGTCACTCCCACTATCTGCCTTCTCTGTTCCTACTACTACTGAATAATAATAATAATGACAACAACAATAATTATTATAACTAATATCAATATAGTACTTAGTATGTGCCAGATACTGCGCTAAGCGTTTTACAATTATTATCTCATTTGATTCTCACAATAACCCTGGGATGTAGGTGCTATTATTATCCCTGTTTTACAGATAAGGAAACTGAGGAAAACAGAAGTTAAATGACTTGCCCAGGATGACCCAGCTAGTAAAAACCTGAAGCTGAATTTGGACTCGGGGCTTCTTGACTCCAGGCCCAGCACTCTATCCACCAAGCCACCTATTTTCAGAACTCTGCTGGAGGAAAGGCTGGGTTCTCTCTAAATACACATTAGCTGATCTTCACTGGGGTCCCGCTGCTGTACAGCGACATTTTGATCCCTCCCAGATAGACTCTACCCCAAATACTTGAGAAGCTGCTCCACACAATTTTAAGAAAGGTTTTAGGGGGTTAGGCTTCCACAGCAGGATAAGGAATTCCATGATCTTGTGGAGAGTCCCTCAACCAATCTGAAAGTGCTCCAAACTTTCTGTAAACAACTAGTTCCTTAAGAAAGAGCCCTGAAGGCTAAACCAGTTGCAACCCATCGGGTTTAACGACAGGGCCTCCACAGGGCAAAGGCTTTTCTCTGCTATGCTTGCTTAATAAGCTTATCAAATATTAACTGACACACCCCAAGGGTGGAGATAGCTGCCATTTTTGATCATGGGACACATGAGCTAACATGACAAGGAAGGACATGGACGAACGTGCAATGGGCTGTCCAGGAAGGGTGTAATTCAGATGAACCAGACCAATAGTAGCCCTGATGGGTGGAGTATGGATCTTAATAACAATTTAAAAGTGGATTCTACCACTGAACCCGTGCCCACGTGCTACTAAAGTTCACTGTGGTCTCTTCTCTCTTGAGAAGTGTAATAAAGGCTTTCCTTCACTCACTCATTGTAGTAGATTTTTGTTTCAGATTTTTCTAACAACATTTCTACTTTTCTTGAGCCCCACTCTGCCCATTCTACTTCACTGACAACTGGAAGCTATCGTGATTACCTTCATCTAGACTCCTTCAAACCCCTTCTACATGGCTGATAACCCATCTCACCCCCTTTGCTCCAGGCCCTGTGGAAGAGCCTTTCATCCACTTCTGCGCTTGACCAGATCCTCTCCCGTCTCTTACCAGAGTTTGTCCCAATGGTCAGAGAGTTCTCTTCCTCCTGTTTGGCAGCGCCATCTCTACTGGCTCCTCCCCAGTTGTCTACAAACACACTCAGGTCTCGTGGCTGTACCTGCCATCCCTAAAGCTATTGCTCCTCATTGGTAAACTTATGGAAAGAGTAGTGTATACTTGGGGGCCTTCACTTCCTCATTACCCACTCACTTTTCAGCCTCCTGCAAACTGACTTCTAACCCCATTAACTCAATGGAAATGGCTCTCTCTGAGGTGCCTAATTGTTTAATCTGATGGCTTTTGCTTTTCACACTCATTTCTCTGCAACTTCTCACACCTTTGATTAATTTCTCCTGTTGGCCACTCTCCTCGGCTTCCATGGCACTGCTCTTTCCTGGTGCCTCTCCTTGTCGGCTCCCTCACTGGATCTCCATTCATCTGCTGCTCCTTAAGCAAAAGTGTCCTCCCAAGGCTCAGTTCACAACCCTCTTCTCATGTCTCTATATCTTCTCCCTTGGAGATTTCAGCAGTTCCCATGGATTTAAGTATAATATCTATAGAAAGTATTCCTAAATCTAGATACAAAATCTGAATCTTTCTTCTAAACTTTAGTTAGTATATAGTATACAGTAAGTACTATATAGATGTTAGTTATAATTACTATTACTATTATTATTATTATTATTATTATTCAGTAGTAGAAGGAACAGAGAAGGCAGATAGAGGGAGTGACTCAGAGTCGGGCAGCAGAAGGACAAGGGGGCAAAAATCTACTGGATATCTCATTGGCATCTGAAACTCACCATGTCCAAAAAAAGAACTCATCTTCCTCTCCTACCCCAACCCCCGCCTCAATCTACCCACCCTTCCTTGAAATTTTCCTCGTTCTCTTGAGGACACCTCCATCCTCTCAGTCATCCAAGTTTTCAAACTCAGAGTCATTCTGGACTCTCCCCTCTCCTATTTCCCATATCTAATCAGTTTTCCAGTCTTGCCAGTTCTACCTTCACAACATCTCTCACTTGTCCATTTGCATGGCCACCATTTGAGGCCCTCATCCACCCTCTCCTGGACTATTTCAATTGCTTCCTAATTGGTCTCCCTGAACCCAGTCTGTCCCTTTTCTGATCCGTCCTTCACATAGCTGCGAAAATAACCTTCCTAAAGTAAGGATCTGATGATCGGGTTACTCCTCCGCTCAAAACCTTTTGGTGGCTCCCTAGGGCTTCTAGGAGAACATATAGGTTCCTTAGCCTGGTAGTCAAGGTCCCCAATTACCTAATTCCAACATAACTCCCCAGCCTTATTTCATATTCTTCTTTACACACTCTGTGTTCCTGCCAAACTGTACTACTAGCTGCTCTCCAACCCTACCCTCTGCCTCTGTGTATTCACACAAACTGTCCCCTGTGTCTAGGATGCTTTTATTTATCTCTCCTTTTCAGAACCCTTATCTTCCTTCAAAAGTCCACTCCAGTGCCATCAGCTAAATGTTGTGATTCTGCCCCTTGTTTGAGCCCTCTTGCCTCCAATGACCAGGGCTTATGCTTATCTGTGTCTATCCCAGTAGGACGAAAGCTCCCTGAGGGCAGGGGCTGTTTCATTCTTGCCTTTGGATTCCTGGTTAGCACAATGTCTGGAACACATAGGGGCTAAATTGAATTGAAGTGCTACTATTAAGGAAGCTATCAACACTGATTATGTTTCATGTTTTATTGAACAATATACCTTTGGATTCTTCTTTCTTTGCTGGTCCAATATTCCCAGGGCTCAAGGCTCCAACAGCAGGTGATGGATCTAACTGAAAGAGTCCACAATTGTGTAAGTACAATTTACACAGCTCATCTGGTTATTAATGATTCAAATTTGATGATTTTTAACTCTAGATCTAATTTATTACTCATCCCTGATACAATAATATCTTACCTTGGCACAATGATTTTACGTTTACAAAGCACTTTCGTATCTATTATCTAATTAAACCCTCACGAAAATCCTTTGTGATTTTTTTTTATACCATTTACAGGGTAGGGAAACTGAGGCTCAAAAAGGAAGGACCAAATTGGCACATGACAGACTTAAACCTATGGGCCTCTGACTCCTGGTCTGATATTCTCTCCACCACAGTAAATTGCTCCTATTCTCCCAAGAGGAAAAGTGACAAATTATTCTTTTCTTTGCAGTATCTGGCTTCTATGTCCTTGCAGACCTTTAACACAGAGATGATTGGCTCTGGACATCGGATCTCTAGCTGGGTCAAAAGGGATGCAGTGTTTAGTGCTTCTTGGGGCAAGGTTTTGAGTTGTTTTCCCAGAATGGCTGGTCTAACTCTCAGCCAGGCCAATTGTACATTAATGTGCCTGTTCCCTCACAGTGCTTCCAACAATTGTCATATCATACACGTGTGTTGTTGTTTTTTGAAGACCAAGTTCGGTTTCATAGGCAGTCCTTTTTTTTATTCTTTATGGATTGAAATGTTTATAATAAAAAAGGAAATTTTTAAAGGGGTAGATGGGGTGATAGTATTAAGAACTGGAAGGGGGTCAAGAAAAATAAGGACTATTTAAGGTTCTCATTGTTGTCATGGAATTTGTCATTTCTACCTTCACAATATCTCTCAGATACATCCCCTTCTCTCTATTCACAACACTTCTGGCCCAGTGCAGTCTTTCATCACCTCAAACTTGGACAACTGAAATAGTGCTGACGGGTCTGCCTGCCTCGATTCTCTCTCTACTCCGAGCCCACACAGCTACCAAAGTGATCTTCCTAAAGTGCAGGTCTGACCATGTCAGTCAAAAAACTCCCTATTACCCCTAGGAAACCCCTCTTGCATTGAAAGCCCTTCACACCTTGACCCCCTCCTACCTTTCCAGTCTTCTTATGCTTTATTCTCTGCTATGTATTCTGTGATCTGTTGACACCAGACCCCCTGCGGGTCCTGTTGGATTCCTGATTGAAGAACCAAACAGGACCCTCCATCTCCCAATTCCAAGCCTTTACACTGGATGTACTCCATGATGGGAATGTTGTCCCTCCTCACTTCTGCCTATTGGCTTTTTTCAAGACTCAATTAAAATCTCACTTTCGTCAAGAGACTTTCCCACAGGGTTCCAGCCTTCACCCAAACTGCTGCTGCCTCCCCTCTGGGATGATCTTGGGTTTACACTGTATGTATCTTGAATGTGCATATTTGTTTGCATGTTGTCTCCCCCATTAGAACATGAGTCCTGGAGGGCAGGGCCTATTTTTGCCTTCATATCCTCAGCATTTAGTGCAGTACCTGACACATAGTGAGTGCTTAATAAATGCTTGTCAATTGATTGATTGGACCAACGTTCCACAGGTAGTCCAAGAACTGAGTTGATATTCCAGGTGTCCTCCACACTAGAAACAACTGAACTAGTCTAGATTCATTCAAGTATTTATTAAACACTCACTATGTTTGTCAAGCATTGTGCTGGGTGCTAGGGACACAAAAACAAAAACAGCTGAGTCAAACTCAAATAGAAACAGGGCCACCAAACCATATATTGCTTCGGGCTACATACTGACTTAGAAAACCACAAACTGGGAGCAGCTAGGTGGTGCAGTGGATAGAACACTGGCCCTGGATTCAGGAGGACCTGAGTTCAAATCTGGCCTCAGACACAAAACACTTACTAGCTGTGTGACCCTGGACAAGTCACTTAACTCTACTGCCTAGCCCAAAAAACCCCCACAAAGTAATATTATCTGTGTTCTACTGTATTTTTATTTATTTTGTTAAATATTTATTTATTTTCTTAAATATTTCCCAATGACATTTTGATCCAGTTCCCAAGGCACTGGGATGCTTTGTCGTTTGCAATGAGAATGTCTGACATCTCTGCTATAGAGCTATTTACCTACTGGAGTCACTAGATAACAGTCTTTTACTTATTTTTACTTATTTTCCCAGAAGGCATACCTGTCTGGAAAACAAACCTGTGGATTTAAACAACAGTAACTTCAATACGATACCTGAAAAAGTACTGAGGCAAACATTCTTTTTTTGGGGGGGGGGTTGGCAATCGGGGTTAAGTGACTTGCCCAGGGTCACACAGCTAGTAAGTGCCAAGTGTCTGAGGCCAGATTTGAACTCAGGAACTCCTGACTCCAAAGCCAGTGCTCTATCCACTGTGCCACCTAGCTGCCCCTACATTCATTTTTAAAATCCAATTTTAATATATCTTTTACATCACCTAGATTCCTGTCCCAGAGAGCCACCTCTCATAGTAAACAATTTTTTAAGAAGAAAAACCAAGAAGAAGAAAAATGTTTAGTAAAACTGATCAATATATCATAAAAATCTGACATTATCTACCATATTCCGTAACCATGGAACCCCTACCTTTGCAAAGGAATGGGGGAGGTGTCTTCTCCTATCTCTTCTTTGAATCTTAGCTTGCTCTTTGTAATTTAGCAATATTCTTTTTTTTTTTATTGTTTTGGGGTAGTTGTTCTTTCCATTTACATTGTTGCAGTCATTGTGTATTTTGTCTTCCTGGCTCTGCTTACTTCACTCTGCATCAGTCTTCCCATGCTTCTCTGTATTCATAATATTCATTGTCATAGTCCATTACATCTGTGGCCCACAGCTTGTTCAGCCATTCCCCAATCAACGGGCATCTACTTTGTTTTCACTTCTTTCCTACCACAAAAAGGGCTGCTATGAATATTTTGATGCCTGCAGGACTTTCTTTTTATCACTGACCCCCTTGGGGCATATATCTTATATACATTTTTATGTGATAATCCCAATTCTGTAATACATGCTGGTCTTTTTATCGGTAACTTTCAGGCCTTTTGATAAATTAGCAATGGTTGAAATACTAGTAGCCAGTAGAAAGTCTTTTTAATGCCTCCTTCTACAGAACATTAAAATCAGCAGAAATAAAGCCTTGAAAGTTCTTGATAAAATTAATATGCTCTCCATGGGCTTTACTGATTGGATCAGTCTATTGGAACAGAGAGGAAAGTTTCAGCTTACTAATTTAACGAAGACAAATTATTAAAAACCTATTTCTCAAATGAAAATATCGAACTGGGTAATAACAGCATTCAGAAGCTTCTGGTAATTGCTGTCTATTATTTGAGCCTGTACCAAAGAACCACAGCCAATAATTTAAGCAATTTGTCCTTGTTATCCCTACCGCTTTGTGAAATGGAAGAGACTTGGACTATTCTTGGTATAAAATCTTTGATGTGTTGTTGAAATTATCTCAAAGAAACTTGAAGTCCTGTCCCTGACACCTAGTGGCTAGCTGGGTGACCTTGGACAAGTCACTTAATGTCTCAGTGTTCTGGGCAGCTCTCATAGTCTAAGGCTATACATTGTAGAGAAGTTACCCATTTGCATTGTTAAAGGGAGTTCTCTCACCAGAAGTCCTCATGCCAATGAGATCATAGGTCCTATCCCAGTCCCTAGAGACTTTCAGGTCCCTTATGAGTTAAAAAAAACAAAGTAAGTAATTTCTTTCTAATCTTAGGAGTTCTTAACAGTTCTCAGTGAGGTTGGCACAAACAAACCAATGCACAGGGAAGAAGTCTCTTGCTGTGACAAAGAGTAGGTTTTAAAAAAAAAACACATTCTGGTGATATTTCTTCAGCTCCCAAATGAACATATGCTAAAGAAAAGACAGCAGCTTTTCTATTGCTTATTAATTTTATTGCTTATTAATAACATTAATTCCATATATTTGTATAGCATTTCAAAATTTATAAAGTGCTTTTATATCCATTTTTTCAAACATCATCCTCTCCAATGCATCAGTGCTACAATATCTGAATGACTGCTTATCTCCAGCTTGCTTATAACTGAGACATACAGAATCATTACATTATGACAATAATTTCCCACTATCAGCTATGTTTTTCATTGAGATCAATCATCTCATTCAACAAACATTTATTAAGGGCCTACTATGTGCCAGGCCCTGTGCTAAGTGCTAGGAATATAAAATAAGGCAAAAGGCAGTCCCTGCCCTCAAGTTCAGTCTGATGGGAGAGACAACATACAAACAACTATGACAAACATATATGATATATGACAAGACATATAAAGAGTAAAGGGAAAGTAACCTCAGAGAGGAAGGGGCTAGCAACTAGGAGGATCAGGAAAGGTCTCCTGCAGAAGATGAGATTCGAGCTGAGTCTTGAAGGAAACCAAGAACTCCTTCTAAGAAGCAGATGGAAAAAGGGAGAGCACTCCAGGCAAGGTGAACAGCCCGTGCAAAGGCACAGGCATGGGAGATGGACTGACGCCCAAGAGAAACAGCAAGGAGGCCAGCATGGCTGGATCACAGAATATGTGGGGGAGAGTAATGTATAGCCTCTCTTTGTGTTCTCCCGAGTTCTTGTTGGGTTTTTTTTCCCCTAGAACAGAGCTAGAGGTAAATAACTATCCCTGTGTTTAAATGTTCATGGTGATAACATTTCGCAGTGGGGTAAATCCTCCTCTCTGGCTTTGCTCCAGTTCAAATTGTCCCTTCCTTTCATTCACAATCTCTGTAGGGCAGCAGACTTGATTTCCATCGATGTCTTTAATGATACAGCCCTGGACCATTTTCAGGAGGTGGTCTCCAGACAATTATTTTCCTGCTGTTTCAACTAAATAGGCACAGAGGAGCCCATGTACCTAATTCTCTTCTAGCTCCTTCCTATTTCTTTCTCCTGTGTCTTGCTTTTATAGATTCTAAGCACTTATTAATTTCCAGCTTTCTGACTTTGTTTTATTCTTCCTACACTTTTTCCTGACTAAAACTTTCTGGTTTCTGAACCTGACCTCTTCTTCCTAGCTCCCAGATAATTATATTCTCCTCCTGTGCAAATTCCATTTCCACTTTATGACTAATCTAAAGTCTACCCTTCTCTACCAAATCTACTCTAGAGGGGGAAACTGAAGGACTCAGTGACTATCTCTACAATTTAATGGTATTGAACTTGCCACTCATCCAGATTATATGTCTTTCCAAACTTGGTAAATGAATGCTTTGGAAGGAATACACTGGTCTGGTGCACATGATGGTGGTATTCTACCATTTCATGGGAAAATGATTTCCCAATTCCCATAATGAAATGATTCATTAAAAAATACAACAACAATAAAATATATTTCTTTCAGATCCATGTATTCTGTTGTATTCCATAGATTTCTGGTAAACATTTATTTGCCCTCATGTAGACAGTTTGCTAGGCAGGGTTTACTATTATCCAAAACTGAGGAGATGGCATGAGAATATTCCTGTTATCTTGGGAGCACTGGGATGGCCAAAAAGAAGCTGTCAGAGGGGTCCCCCAGTAGAGCTGTAGGCAATCTGGGATCTCCTCCCTGACTCAAATACCCCTAACTTGCAGTTCTATTTAAGAAAACACTGGAGAACCATTTTTAGGTTTAAACTAGGCCTAAAAATACTCTGTCATTTGGCCCTGTACCTGTATCCACTTTTTTTTTGGGGGGGGGAGTTAGGCAATGGGGTTAAGTGACTTGCCCAGGGTCACACAGCTAATAAGTGTCATGTGTCTGAGGCCGAATTTGAACTCAGGTCCTCCTGACTCCAGGGCCAGTGCTCTATCCATTGCGCCACCTAGGTGTCCCCTGTATCCACTTTACAGGTAAGTTAGAGGGAAGTTTGGGACCTAAGGAATACAGTATAAATGAAAGTGTTATTTCATGTAAACATAGCCCATGGGTTCAACAATACCATTCTCAGCAATAGTTGTCAAGAATTATTTGACAATAACTGTAAGTGATAAACATTTTGAAACATGGTTGTTAAAATGTGATGTGTGAGTATACTGGGCTATAAGAAATGATGATGATAAAAGGAATGCAGAGCAGCATGAAAAGATATGTGAATTGATGCAAAGTGAAGTAAGCAGAATGAGGAAAACAATATATAGTCATTCAACAAGCTTTCATTAAGTGCTCACTTGCTTAATCAATCAATCAATCAATCAGTAAACAGTTATTAAGCACCTACTCTGTGCCAGGCACTATGCTAAGTGCTGGGGATACAAAAAAGGGCAAACCCCCCCCCCATAGTCCTTATCATCAAGCTTACAGTCTAATGAGGAAGACAATATGCAAACAACTCTGTACATAAAAGATAGGAACAAAATGGATAGTACTCTCACAGATAAGACAATTAGCAGCTCAGAGGACTGGGAAAGGCCTCTTGCAGAAAAAAGGATTTGAGCTGAGTACTGGAAGAAGGAGACAGGGGTTAGACTAGAAAGGGAAGAAGGGACCAGGTTGGGAAGAGCTTTGAATGTCAGAGGACTTTCTATATTGTCATTGAGGTAATAGGGAGCAACAGTGACTACAGTAAATACAAAAGAACAACAACAAAAGAAATTGAATACTATGTAATCCAATCAAGCTTGGTCCCTAAGAAGAGAAGAGAAGAAAGAATGCACCTCCTTCCCCTCTCTGCAGAAGTGGGAGACTGTGGGTATGGAGTACTGCATACCTATCAGACTTGTCTGATGTGGTGGTTAGTGCTGTTGAACTTATTGTCCTCCTCTTTTGTATTGTTTTGTTATAAGGGGTGGCTCTTGAGAGGAGAAGGGGAGAGGAGGGAGGGATATATTGGAAAATGACGGTGATTTTAAATCAAAAGATATCAATAAAAATGGGAAAAGCAATTCAAGCTGTCCCTTCTCTCCAGAGAGACAGAGAGAGAGACACAGAGAGAGAGAGAGAGAGAGAGAGAGAGAGAGAGAGAGAGAGAGAGAGAGAGAGAGAGAGAGAGAGAAGAGAAGTGGCTATTGCCACCATAGTTACATCCATGCTTTCCTGCACAGTGTTTGGGAAAATTTGTTTGGAATGTTTACCAGAACTGTTCTAAAGGTTAGGCTTCTGTCTATGCTCTACAACAATTTCTGAGCTGGCCTCCAACACAGTAAGGCAATGACCGGGCCTGCTGGCAACAGACACTTACCACCTGCTCCAGGCCATCCTCCTCCTCTTCGGGAATGCTGAGCAGCTTGGAGAGAGCCTGCAGAGCAGAAGCTGAAGTCATACTCTCCAAATCCATGTCCTTTGCTTTCCTACGGTCAGGGGGACACAACAACCAAGACATTTTTTTTTTCAATTTTGTCCAAATACTTTCTTCACCAGCTAATGGATAAAGAAATACTACCTGTTCTCCCTGTTACCACCCCCCAAGAATATTCTCCCCCTGGATTATTTCGCTATCTTTTGTTCCTCCTAGAGACATTTTGGTGCCTCTCAGACAAGGGCTGAGCAGCAGGTTCAGGCCTTTGCCTTGTTTCCCTCAGCTTCTACACTTTTACCTTAGTTCGGGGATCATTTAATTGAACATCTACCGTATGCATAGAACTGTGTTAGGTAATACAGGGTATAGTAAGAAAATACCTGGTGCAGCTAGGTGGCGCTGCGGTAGATAGAGCACCAGCCTTGGAGTCAGGAGGACCTGAATTCAAACCTGGCTTCAGACACTTAGTAGCTGTGTGACCCTGGGCAAGTCACTTAACCTCAATTGCCACCAAACGAAAAGAAAATATCCTCCAGCAACTTACAATCTACTTGAAAATACAAAACATATGCATGAAACAACTAGGGACCAATCCTAGGCAATATGGTAAAAGGTGAATGAGAATACAGTACAGACTATACCCCAATATTTAGGGGTATACTTGGGACCTTGAAGATCACCTACAGACAATGTTACTGTTGAATTCAGCTTTGTGTGCTCTGCAGCTGAGACCCACAGAAGAATGTGGGAATCACAGAGTTCTCACTCATAGCATCATTACCACCCCTTCCTATGTGAGTCAGTGTAGCTCCTTTGGAACTCACTCATTTGGGTTTGAATCTAGGAAGTCCTGTCCTGTCCATCTGTTCCTGGAAAAAATAGGAGCCTTCTAAATGGAAAAAGCAATAGAACTGATCCATGGAAGCAAAAAGGGAACAGGCAGGGAGTAAAACAGTCTTTCTACTCCCACGGGACTTCCATGTAGCCTGATATTTAAGCATTACTGGCATATTTTTTTAGACTAGCTCCCACCTTTTGGAAAATGCAAAGTGATTAAATCAGAGGGAAGAGAAAGAATCAACAGGTCATACTCAAGATGAGTCAACAGTGGAGCCACTATCTTTGTACTCCAACATCACAACCTCTGATACGTTGTAAGAGTAACAACAGAATTCAAGAAAACAAAGAAAGGAAGAACAGCTAAGTTAGATTGCATAAAAATAGGAAAAAATATAAACAGAGAAGGCATCAATAACTTTTTTTTAAGGTCCAATACAGACTTCTAGGGGGTTGTTGAATATGGTGCTTCATGACACTTAGAGGGCTGGCTAAAGGATCAGGTCAATGCGGGGGGGTGGTACTTAGGGGCTTTTGGCCTGTTAGTTCATATATGGCATTAGTTCCTGATGGTCCATCCCAGCAGGGCTCAGTCGTGTATATAACATTTTCCTTGTAACTCTGTTGGACCATGACATTATGAAAGTCTGGGTCAGAATATACCCATTGAATGATTCAGACATCAGGGTACAGGGTCATTTGTCAAATGCTCACTTTCAATCAGTGCCAAATGGAAGATTAGCAACTGTTCTAATGCACAAGTAATTCTTGGCTGCTGGGGACAAGACAGAACCACAGCCCAAGAACCACGGAATCACTTCTCACTTATAAGCCTACAGAGATTTCAGACACTGAGACCACTGTTGACTATAGAAACCTTGTGGGCCACTAGTGCAATGGGGACAGAAGGGCCCATTATGTGTCCTCAAGATTCAAAGAATTATAGCTCTAGAACTAGAAAGGACCATAGTGGTCACCTAATCCAACTGTCTCATTTTATGGATGAAGAAATTGAGCCCCAGAAGGGAAAGTGACTTATTCAGGGTCACACAGATAGTAAATAGAAAATGTGTAATTTGAACTCAGGTTTCACTTCAAATTCAACACTCTTTCCATTATACCATACTGTTGAAGCTTTCTTCATAACCCAATAGATTGGTTTAAGAAGGATGCCTATATGGAAAATGTGCTACCTTCAAAAACTGAAAAGGCCTACCTGGCTTGGGGTTTCCTTTTCATTATGATATCTGGCTAGGTAGAAGAGCTTGATCCTCATGGGGCCAGGGATGTATCACACAAGTCCCTCCATTGTCTTCTCAGGAAATTTACTGATTATGAGGGCCCCTATACTTTCCTGCTGTCCTCAAGGTACTTGATCAAGGATTGAAGCACAGGTTTTTTGGGTGGACTTTTTTTTGGCCAGTGCCCTATGTGATAGCTGCAACCCACCTTATGATTTGAGGTGTCATGGATTTCTGCCTATAGAAATAAGTCTATATGATAATTGAGACATCATGGTGGAAAATGATGGTATTGATGGAGGCAGGGGCCCAAGCCAAGGTCTTTGCCCCTTGCCCCAAAGGGAATCTGGCTCCCATTTGTCTACAGACCCCAGCTCCTTATCTCCCTTTAAAAGCCTTAGCCCCACCTTTGACCTTACTCAGATGCCTTCCAGTTCCCTTCATTACAGGCCCCATAAAACACTTCCAGTTCCCTCCATTATCTATTCAATCTCTCAGACCTCCCAATCAGAATTCTTACCTAGACCCGTTTCCCAGCCCCCTTCTCTGGCCACCCAAAGTTACTTCAGTGTATAAAAATTCCACCCTGGCCCCCATTCAGATGCTGAGAATCTCATGCCTGCTTGTCCTTATGGGCATCACCTGGCCTAAGTGTTTTATCACTAATAAACTTTTCCTCTGGCTGGAAGAAGATTTGAGTTTAATTCATTCAGGCAGGGCCCAGCGTCGCAATCTTGGGGGTTCCCAGCAGCACCCCAAACCCCAAAATCCTAGACTTCTTCAGTATGGCCATTTGTCAGATAGTTTCAACCAGAGTCAGGTTAACAAATGCTTTTTCTAAAGCAGATTAATTCTTACATTGAGTATGGGGTATTGTGTTCCATTTTGGGCACCACCATTTAAGAAGGATATTGATGAGCTGAAGAGTGTCCTGAAAAAGGCAACCAAGTAATGGGCCTTGAGTCCTAGGATCAGGTGACAGTATTGGAGATGTTCAGCTTGGCGAAGAGAGACTAAGGGGGACAGGATAAGAGGGACAGCTGTGTATAAGTACTAGAAAGGTTCTCATGTGGAAGAGGCATTAGGCTTGTTCTGTTTGGCCCCAGAGGGAAGAAGCAGGAGCAGTGGGGGGAGGGTGCAGAGGCTGACTTCTTGCTGATATTAGGAAAAACTTCCTAAGAATTAGAGCATACTGAGAGTGGAAAGGGCTGCCTTGGGAGGTGCTGGTTCCCTTTCCTAGGAAGTCTTCAAGCACTGACTAGATGACTATATGTTAGGTACATTAGATCAGGGATTCCTTTTTGTGTATAAGTTGAACAAGATAGTTGCTGAGATTCCTTCCAACTAAAAATTCTGGTTCTATGATGGACTGAACTCCTATGAGGGAATGGATTCATTTATTAATAAATGTGATGAAACCACAATGCATCCCCTATTTGAGGAGAATCTCTCCCTAAGCAGAAGAAAAACTTGAATTAAGCATAGTGTATTTAACCCTTTTTTGCTCATGTGTTCAGTTATTATTTTTCTGTGAAAATTTTCCATTCACTATCAGTAAGTATGATCTTTGCCTATTAAAAGTTCAGAAGTTTTTTTTTTCAATTTCTTTTGTAATTTCTGTGAGAAGTCTTACTAGGCAGAATCTAACAGCTTCTCACCTCAAAGAGAACAGTGTCTTCCAGAAAAAAGCCATTCTTGGCCTGATTATGAGAATGTAAATAGTGAATGTAAATAACAACTGTTTCTGGTTTTGGCCAGAAGCCCTGAGGGTCTTCCCCTCCCAGACTGATTTTTTTTTTTTTGACTAGGTGGAAGAGGTCATCCTTTACCTCATTTCTTACCTAGCCTTAATCACTGAATGAGCTCTGCCTCAGTCACACGGAGACCTGGGAAAGACCTTAGCTTAAAAAGGCCGAGGTCTCCGATGGCATCCTGAGCCATCTCCAGTCATCCTGATCTATATCTTGCCACTGGGTCCAGACAACAATGAGAAGCTGCACAATACAGACCTTTCAACAAGACAACTGATTGATCATTTAAGCCAAAAGCATTAGGTATTAAGTACTGTGCTAGGTGCTAGGAATACAAATAGAATACAAAATTGAGACAGGCCTCAAGAAGCTGACATTCTACTAAGAGTTAAAATGAAGAAGGTGATCATTAATCTATAGGGTAAAATGCTTCCATCCAGAGCTAATCGTATTCCCCATTAGAGTTATTCATAATTTTATCTTTTCAGCTACCAAGCCAAACAAGCCTCATTTTCCTAAAACTCCCTAATTTAAAGAGTTCCATTGAACAGACTATTCTTAGCTCTTGTGATTTAATTTCTTCAGTCTTAGCTTTGAAAGTTACATGTTGAATTTATTATATACTTGAAAAGCAAACTGTACATAACAGAGATTTACAGTTTTGTGTACAATTCTTTTTCTCTTATGTGTCCACAGAAGTACCCATTTTATTTGATGTTTGTTAAATTCAGAATAATTTTTTTAAAATTTCTTCAGTCTTCTTTCCCAGTCTTCCAACCTTGCCTCCCTCTACCCCAACCCCAGGTTGGCTTATCTTATTACTGAAATAAAAGAAATTGTAAACAGACTTGCTTTCAATACATATAGGCGCTGGGGCTGGAGGGTGATAGACTCCTTTTAAAGGCACAAGGTAGGGACAGCTAGGTGGCACAGTGGATAGAGCACCAGCCCTGAAGTCAGGAGGACCTGAGTTCAAATCTGGCCTCAGACCAAACACGTGACACTCACTAGCTGTGTGACCCTGGGCAAGTCACTTAACCCTAATTGCCAGGAAAAAAAAAACTGGTACAAGGTAGGAATCCTTCTATGTGCTTGCAACTGACCATTACATAGAGACATTCCATTAGCTTGGCATAACTCAACAGACTCATGCCTGGTTGTCAGTTATCACAAACCTGGGCATAGAAATGTATGTTCCTACATCCTCCAGTTCACACCCCCAA